GCTGGTGGCCTCATGTTCAGTGTCGTAATCACCTGGCTCTTCTGCCTCTGCATCGACCGTGATTTCCTGAAGGCTACGATTCTTTCCTTTGCCGCTATCTGGTTATCCCTCTTCGGTTTCTTTGCGAGCCACAATGCGCCGAATGACAGTGTTCCCCCAACCGAGGGTGACGAGAAGGTCGGCTTCTACGGAAAAGAGGACCACGAGTACAACAACGGCTGGCGCTGGGCAGTCTCCTGGTCATTGGCGACGGTGTTCTTCGCCGCGCACGTCGGCTTGCAGCGGGCAAACATCATCCAGGGCCCGTACGGCGAGAAGGACAGCGAGGTGCAGAAGATCGAGACGTAAAATTGTCGAATGACTGACTGGTCACGACGGTGCTCGCAGTCTGTGGTGAGATTTACCTCTTGCAGTTTGGCGAGGGCGCCACAGGCAGCCTTTTTCCCACGGAGGGTCACAGGTGGAGCTTCAAGACCTTCCTGTAACCTCTGCAAGAGCTGGCAACCCGCGCGGTCCGCCACGCGGCAATCGTGCGAGGCTGTTCAGGGCTCGTTGTCAGTACCTGTTGAGGCTGAGGTCCTGCCAAGCAGACCGATGTACCATTGTCTTATCAACAAATCCAAAACTGCTTTGCAACCTGGAGAATGCCCCTGTGCTGGGAGTGTATCCGGATATTCGCAAACCTCTGCAGACCGACTGAATCGACAGCGATGAAGAAAGCAGATCTGACGTTCGAGTGGATTGTACGCGATGTTCTTTGTTTTTCTAGTGTTTTTGGGCAGTGATGCAGACTTGCCTCAATAGCAGGGCTTTGTTGTAGTACTGGTGGTGGTGGTAGTAGTAGTAGTATAGCGGCGGCGGTGGTAGCGGTTTTCTAGGCCCCCAAAATAGTATGGCACCCTTGTAACATGGACCCTAAAAGGAGAGAACTACCCATCTGAAGCGAACTTGGAAGGCTTTGTGAAGGTGTCGATTCTCTTTCACTCGTAATAAGTTTGCAGGGGCCTTTGTTCAGGGTTCTTTAAGGCTTCACGGGTCAGTGCTACCGAAGAAGCTGGTGACTTTGAAGCACATGTTGGTTCTTCATGCACAGGCGTGGACAAGATGAGGATCCGCCCTTCTGGCTGCCATGTGCCGCGATCACTCTGCGCAGTTGAAAACATGAGCTTTAGCAGGCGAGTCCCAAGCTGCTTGGTAGCTTCCGAAGGTGGAGATCAGGAAAGTCCGGAACGGTGCCAACTCTGCCTGGGACATTTTCCTCCACCTGAGCACGATGTTGGAGCCGTCAAAACTGAGGAGGCACTCCTGGACCTCGGGCGACCTCGCAACACTCTTCGTGGGTGCCAGCAGGTTCGAAAAGATGCGGCTCAGGAGCCCGTCACCGCTTGCGCCAACATCGCTCAGCTTCCAGTGAGCTTGCGCAGCTACTGTTCATCTTGATGCTCGATGTCCAAGCTTCCTTCATGAGTTCGAACATGCAGCACGCAATCTAGCAACTTGCATTCGGTTGACTGCGTGTTCGTCGCAACTCAAATTGCTTATGGATCAAGGTGACTGAGGCACGGTAGCCTTGCGTGATGCTGGGTGGCTACCCGCGTCCGTGAGGTACTGGGCATCTTTCGGGAAGGCCTGTATCCGAATCAGCTGAAGAGGCTTTCTCGCAGCAGATATGGCGAAGCTCTCGATGTCAGGTCCCTGGGCTTTTGCTCTCTCACAGATTGGATCTTCAAGAAGAGCCCTTGGCTTAAACGGAGCGAAGGCATTCTCTGCTTGGTGAAGCCTCCTGATTTGGTACGCTCCAAGCAGGAGCTTCTACGGAAACATAGGGGCACCTTCCGTTTCTGCTGCGGTAGGTGCTACATCCGAAGCCGAAACTCTATTCTGCTCACGACGGATAGTTTCGGATAGTTTCTATGCAAGAGTGCAGCATTGGCAAGAAGTAGGGCACAGTTCTCAGAGTCGGGCATTTCCGGCGTGGGGGCCAAGTTGGGATCCGATTGATTGCAAGTGCCGGATCACACAACCCCTAAACTCCTTCTAAGAGCCTCCCAGAAGGGGATTTTGGGTTCAACAAGGATACAGGAAGAAGCAGCCCTGAGTTCAGCTAGGGACGGAAGCTTGTCCACAACTGGTCGGTAGACCCAGGTAGGGACCCCCTCACCACATCGTGCCCGTCAGGTCTCCGGCCATGCCAGGGACAGAGCCACAGGCAACCGGAGGTTTTGAAGGTTTTCTTGAGGGCTGTGCCCTTTGGAACCGTAAAACGCCCCAGCTCCGCATCTTCGTAAGCCTTGATCCAGAAGCTCTGAACCCTCAGCTCGCGAGGCCGCGAAGGGGGACACTTGGCATATCCGAACGAACTCTGAAAGTTGCGCTGCCTGGAAGTTCATCACTTTAAAGACTTCGACAGGTGGGGGTGCTTGGGCGGGTGGCCACCTCAAACTGTGCACTTCCTGATCATTCTGGAATATTCAAAGGAGTTGCTTGCTTCTGCAGTGTAGCCATGAAAAGTGGCCACGACTGCCAGGCACACGAAAAACTCCGCGATGCTGAAGGCCTTGGAGAAGAAGA